GGAGCTGCTGCCAGGTCCCGAGAAATGAGACCGAAGACCAAGCGGGACGATTTCCGTTAGCGATCGGTGAACATTCATCAACGAATGTAACTACCGTTGCTGTTATTACTAGTGCTTTCACACCTTCCACCTTTTTGGTCATTTCTCGGAGGTCTCTTATACTAGGTACCCGAATCCTAAGTGTTAATCCTTACTTATCCAGAAAGTGTGTTTCATTTGCTTTCTTAGGGAAGAACCCCTCTCAGAAGTCAACCAGGTGCGCGAAAACATATGTCAACTGCTTCACATACCCTCCTCCAGACCGGTTATCTCGTCTCCACCGCCCCCCTCAAGCTGATGAATTCCTTTTCTTTTCTATTTTGGCCTTCTTTGCCTTTCTCTCGTTATCCGATTACTGCATTTTTGTGTCTGCAAGCGCTTCTTTGAAGGGTCGTTGCACAGGAAATCTGCTGTTTGTTTGTATGCAGTTTGTGTGACAAAAACGACTCCTCGGTCTACACGTGTATGTATCTTCTTAATTCTGTGTCCTTATTGTTTTACTTGACGATAGGATTAAAATAAACGTTATGCTCGCCTGCAAGCCTTGTGACATGTTTAGGAAAGTGGGTTTAAGATACCAAACTTTCTGGCAAAACTACACAGTTCGTGTTATTAACAAAAGCTAACATTGAACATTGTGTTCGTGTGTAACGTGTTTATTTCCATTGCTGACTTTTATACAATCGTAATCGGTGTCGATTTTTTGTGTAATTATTTAGGGCCGTCGCTGTTACACCTTGACGTACGCTTTCCCTATAAATATATTGACGAAGGGGTAGTCAGTCCTTTAAAAATGACTTTTACACACGTTGCGACCTCGTATTCTAAGCCATGCTTTGCTCTAATGCCTCTGGAGCATGTCTGTTGCTCGTGTCCACTAAGCAGATGCGCACCAGAGCGTGTCAAAGGCGGTTAAGATCACGGACGTGTGTTCACCCTCTGTTTGTTTTACATGGCCAACTACTTTTCAAGGCCAGTTAACAAAGGACCTTAGTGTGGTGACTGCTTACACTCAGTCATTCCCGGAGCCGGCGACCTCACGGCCGGTTGTAGACATCCGGACTTGGCGACTTCACCGCCGGAATGCGACTTGTTATAGCCCAGTTAGTTCGGCGTCGTCAGTAGTTATAGCCCGGTATTTCGAAACCGACTAAAAGGTAGAAGGAGGCAAGGGGCGGTCTTGATAGGCAATGGCTTTATTCAACCGTACACAAAGACTGGGGGGCGCGCCTGACTGTCAGGCCGTCTGTGTCC